AGAGAGAGAGAGAGAGAGAGAGAGAGAGAGAGAGAGAGAGTCCGTCACATGTAAAAATTATGTAGTCTAATTTGATAACAGCCTTCTAAATTAATATGGACGCAAAAAAGCAACAATTCTAATTTCGCTACAGCATTAGTACGAAAGCAGTAGCTATCAGAAGCACTCCGTCTAAACTCCTCTACTGCCACCATACTTGTTAGAAGCAAGCGTTGGCGTAAGTAATAAATTATTTCCAAATAGCTTGATTGTTTCAGTTGAAGTGAAGAAAACAACAAAACTTGATTAAAATGTTAATGCAGCAACAAGTTTTAACATGAGTTCATGAATAAAAACAACCAAAGACAAGAACAATAGTTTCCCCCCTTCGCTCTCTAGATCAGATCTGGAAAAAATAAAAAGAATAATTGATAGAGAAGGAATAGTATTCATTCAACAAAAAATGTTCATCATGACTGTTAGGTGAAAAATGACACTGAGACAAGACAAGATGATGAATATTGGAGTGAATGACGTGGTGATAGATGATGAATATTTGAGTAGATAAAGAAGACAAGACAAGATAGATGGTGAATATTGGAGTGGATGAAGTGATGATAGACGATGAATATTGGAGTGGATGAAGTGATGATAGACGATGAATATTTGAGTAGATAAAGAAGACAAGACAAGATAGATGGTGAATATTGGAGTGGATGAAGTGATGATAGACGATAAATATTTGAGTAGATAAAGAAGACAAGACAAGATAGATGGTGAATATTGGAGCGGATGAAGTGATGATAGACGATGAATATTGGAGTGGATGAAGTGATGATAGACGATGAATATTTGAGTAGATAAAGAAGACAAGACAAGATAGATGATGAATATTGGAGTGGATGAAGTGATGATAGACGATGAATATTTGAGTTGATAAAGAAGACAAGACAAGATAGGTGGTGAATATTGGAGTGGATGAAGAAGACAAGACAAGATAGATGATGAATATTGGAGTGGATGAAGTGATGATAGATGATGAATATTAGAGTGGATGAAGTGATGATAGATAATGAATATTACTGTGGATAAAGAAGACAAGGCAAGATAGACGGTGAACATTTGAGTGGATGAAGAGAACAAAGATTTGTAGATCTGTGGTGAGACTAGACAGAGCAAAATGTGTGGCATCGCGCTAAAATCAGGCGCTCGTTAAAATAATGAAATCGAAGAAACCGACATTTTCCCGCCTGTTTCGGGAATTTTAATTTATTTTAATTTTTAAAATATCTTGCTGAACACCTTTTATGTTCACTTGTAAAAAAAAGCACATTTCTGAGAGGATTTTACTTACAAAAAAACATTGCTCACATGCACAACAAAATATGAAATTTTGTCGTTTTCAAGAACACTGAAGCGTTGGAAGTTACTACACTTTGGCGGCCATTTTCTCGTTAATTTTACCTTTGACTTAACCCACCTTCTTCAACTGTATGTATCTCGACTTCTAGTAAAGATAGATGAGTATTTTGTTTCATGGAAAGCAAGACAAATGAATAAGCTATAAGATGATACCAATTACTACGTCTGCCCAAAAACGACGAGAGCCTGATTTCTCTATGTTGTGATGTAAATCGCTACCCCAGAATTAAAAACTTTGAGTTTCACATCATATCAAGTTTTTTCGAATGCAATTCTTTGAATATCTTGATAACGACTCCAAATAATCTTACAATTTTGATAGAGAAGATTCTCGTTTAGTTTCTGACCTCATGGTCTTAGTAACTCAAAACAGCGAAAAATGTCAGATAGAACTTTGAAATTCTGAGGTAGTGACATGTTTCTGGTGTTGGACAGAAGGGAATGAGGGGACAAGAGTTAACAAACTGACACAACAAAGGGAACTAGATGAATGATATAATATGAAAGTAATGGAGATTCTTCTTCTTCTTCTTTTTCTTCTTCTTCTTCTTCTTCTTCTTCTTCTTCTTCTTCTTCTTCTTCTTCTTCTTCTTCTTCTTCTTCTTCTTCTTCTTCT